TTTTAAACTTCTTACAATTGACCCCTGTGACAATTTTCCCCGAAATATCATTTCAGAGCAATAGCTCTTCTTTGATTGATATCTTTTCTCGGCAATTGATATCTTTTTTCCTTTTCCCAAATTTCTTTCTGGCGATTCTTTTATTCTCAAGTTCTCTTCAACATTTCTAGTGCCTAAATGCCGATCCATTCGGAGCATCTCTCTCAGTTAAGCTTCTTGATGTTCCCGTGGTGTACTCCTGGAGGGCTTTCTGCTTGTAAACCAACGGTAGATCCATTGAGGTCGATCACTTTCGATTTGAAAACTGTAAACCATTGTTGCCACGACTCCGAGTCTCCGTCGTATCTCCCGAATCTCTCAGATCTCTCTTTCGTTCTGAATCGTTCTGAAAATTTGGAGATAAGCTTCATCTTTGATTCTCCACCCTTTTCCGCCAACATGGGTTTCTTTTGAAGAAAGTGCTCAAACTGCCACATAGGACAATAGCACACAGCTTTCAATTTTCGTCAAGATTGCATCGGACAGGGATCGAACCAAAGATCGAACCCCGAGCCTAAATGATAGAGAGATATGAAGACAGACAGCCAGACAGATGATAATCAGTAGGATGTTTGCTTTTCTTTTTCCTGATTTCAACTCAGTTGGAATCAGTCGGGGGACGATTTGCACTTGGAGCCTCCATCATTTCGTTTAATCGTCTCAATTTGTCGTTTTGTCCGGTGATCTTGGTGCTGCGAATCGAGAAGTGAGTCGACTTGGATATGCAAATGATTATTGGATGATTGTGGCCAACATCATTGAAAGGTAATCTTTTCCTAAAGATTAGAAAAGATCAGCTAAAGACTTTGATTCAACTAACTACAAACTTTCTTTCAGTTTAATCAATCCGCTTGTGTTGAACGAATGGAGTCCGGCAGTTTGATGGAGCGTGATGGAGTCCGGCAACGCGCTAGCGGGCGAGGAAACAAGCAATTCCTCTGAGAGATACATTCAGCTAAGAGAAGAAGAGCCAGTCTCAATGAATGAATCACAAAAACCACTTGCATTTGTTGTATGAAAATAAAGTATTTACAAAAAAAGCGATTTTATCAAAAAATACTATTTGATGGATGATGTAAAAAAACAAAACACACAAGCAGCAGAAAAGAAAGAAAGGCAAAAGAGAAAGGAATTGCAGTATTTTTTCTATTAGTGCACCCAAAGTCTTAAAGAAAACGAAAAAAAGTGTTATCAAGAATTAGTCAGAGTCGGGTCGTTGAAAAACAGATTGAGCTATGGTACTTCATTCGACCAAGATCGGTCCTCAAATTTTACAGGATTTGGTCGACTCGATGCCAAGAAGGATTCAAGCAATAATTTCATCAAAAGGAGGCCCTACCAAATATTAAAATTAAGTTTTTTTCTCACTTTTTGTTCGAGGGGTAAAGACTTTTGTCCACCTGTTTTGAGGGTTTTTTTTGTTAACGTCGTTCTTTGTTGCCTTGTTTCTTTTGGTTATGGGATATAAAAACTAGAGTAAAAATGCTACAAAATACTCTCGAAAACTCTCGACTATAAATTGCTGAGCTGAATAACTGTTTTGATCGATGAATTTCTGCTTTTTTCAGTTTTTACTTTCATTATTCATTCATTCATACGTTTGTTCGAGGAATGACCAATCGATTTAATCGTTTTAATCATTTTCCCCTTTTGACCGAGCCTGTTTTAAGCTTTATTTGGTGTCTCTGAAAGACCCAGCTAACGTTCATTTGACGCTATTCATTTCACAGTCTTTTTCAACTTGTTTTGGTTGGGTTTCTTGCAGACGAATCGCGGGATCGGTGTCGGCCATCGATCATCGTTCGCACCCCAACCGGCCACCCGGCAAGAGTAGTCATTCGTTATCTGAAATTTGATTTAAATCTTATCTAGAGTGTGCACTTTGTGCTCGAACTTGTAAACACACCAACTGAATTCTTCATTTCAAAGAGCTCTGGTGCACCGCTGAGTGCACCAAAAAGGATGCGTTTACAAGAGCATAAAGTACAATCGACTGTCTTTTAACCGTCAATGTCATTGCTTTGTCCATCGGCTCTCCCCAGGAACTCCAATCGAACGGTGTCCCATCAGTCCACTGCTCGGTCGGTTTACCCAAACCGCGAAAGCCGAGATAAGTCCAAATCCAATAGCACGGATCTTTCTGTGGTGGGCAGAAGTCGTCGTTCAAGAAAACGTTTGTTCGAATGAGCGCTGAAAGTGATTACCCTGGTCAAAAAGAGATTCTACAGTGCCTAGCTACCGTATACTGTATACTTAAAGTTTTACTTACAGTGCCGTATATCTACCGAAGTCTGATCAACAGCAACTGTACTAAAGGATTTATCGAACACACTCACTCGACACAAAATCGTTCTCCTCTTTCGAGTGAATCGATGCGAGATGTGCACCAGCGTTCACGCAAAGCTTCTCCGCGTCAGGCCAGAGGTAAAGCGTAAAATTGGCCTCATCAGCGGCGGTGAAATTCTGTAAACTTGCCCTCTTAAAAACGCTCCCTAGCGCACTCAGTTATTTTAAAGTGTGCCAGAAGACGCGCGTTTATTGAAGCACAAAGTACGAGCATTTTTTAAATGAGATTGATTGACAAACCTGCAAATAATAACACGAATCAGTGGCCTCGAAGTAGTTCCAGTTGTTCGGACATTGGAACACTGAAATCGGGGCTTTTGATCGAATCCAATTCAAAAAGGAAAAAGCTATTTCGTTGATTAACAGTTGATTTTTTGAGAGGAATTGAAATAAAATCAATAAAATCAATAAAATCAATACAATGAATACAATCCCCATCAACTCCAATGAATACAATGAATACAAATTTCATTTTTTCCTATTGAAATTTTTGTAGATTAAATAAAAGTTAGAGAGAGAAGAAATCACGTGAAAGCCGGCACTCAACGGTTAACAAAGAAGCAAAGAAAGCATTCAAAGATGAACATTAAAGTTTCCCATAATGCAAAATGATTTTTTTATGAGGTTGTGGCGAATTGCCGCTGCTCTGCAGTAAGTCAAAATTCAATAAATGAGTTAAAATTCAAAGTTAATGGATAAACTACCGTAATCAGTCACTAGACGATATGCAGTTGTCCGTTTGTCGTAGCTTGTGTCCGATTGGCGTGTTAGGTCTGAAAAACCTTGGGGTTTATGTTATTCCTTTTATTTTTAGACCACTCCCCGAAGAAATGATGCACTACGCCCGGGAGGACACTCACTATTTACTCTACTGCTATGATCTGCTACGGGAAAGACTTTTTCAGTGTGAGTGATTGTGGAAATCTCTCAATTAGTGATCTTTTTAGCTGGAAACGAAAGGACGAACAATTTACTGGAAGACGTTTACAGGGACTCCAAGGAGATTTGAAGTTTGAAGTTTGAACGTTTGAAGCTCATATCTCGTAATTGTCGCCAAGTTTTGGTAGAGCGTTCAAGCCGGCAATTGTAGAAATTGCTAAAAATGCAACGTTTACTTGCCTTTTTAAAAATTTGTTCATGAAAGTTCAACTTTCTGCCAGCGAACAATCTCACAATTTAATCTGATAACTTCAAATCAGCCTCTTTTTGTTGCTCATCTTGATTGGATGAGCTGGGTTGAGCATCGGAAGCGGTTGCTTCATCACCTTCCATTTTCCTATCTAAATTTCATTCATAAAATCCATTTAGCAAGCAAAGAGTAACAAAAATGAAAAATTGCCTTGAAAAATCTAACAACTTCACGAAGAGCAACAAATTGGCCTATAACTGAAACATTAAAGAAATCGTGTTATTGTAATCCAAGAGATCCAAAAGATCAATTTCGAGATGTAGAGAAAAAGACTAGTTAAATCAAAAATGGCTAAAATCCTAAACAAAGTGAAACCCATAAGTTGACTACTTGATTTTAAGGGGAACCTACCAAAAAGGAAATGGATTCAAAGTTCAATGAATAGCTAGCATCTGACTATCAATTACGTAAAGCAATGGTTGAGTTGATTGAAGAAAACCTAGAAATCTCCCAAAGAGACTTTCTTCAAAGACAAATTTTGAGCGAATAACGGGAAATTGATCGATTTGGTGATGAAAAACGTGAAGAAATCGTTGAAATCCAGTAGCCGAAGACTTGTAGAAGATTTTTGAGAGGTTTGTTCACAAAAAACGTTAGAATCCCGCATTGAAGGCTTGTAAAGTTTTGTTTAATCCAAAAATGTAGAAATCCAATAATCGATCCTCTTTCCTCAATTAGATGTCGAATCCGGCGTCTCGCATGCACTGTTTGTGCGCCCCGATGAATTTCCCGCAGTGTTCCTCACCATTTTGAATGATGCACTCGCCGCGTACGCGTTTTGTGTCTAAATTACACAGTTAGCGCAAGATTTATGTAAAAGAATACAAAAACAAATGTTCTACAGATAAAAACTACCTGGACACGCACAACACGGCTTCAACTTCTTCGGCGCCTCCTTTTCGCCTTTTTTGCTGCTGTTACTTTAAAAATGTTTCAAGAGTGAAATCGTTTCGGAATATCAAATAGATCAACGATGACGTGAAAATTGAGAGAAATTTGACAACTTCGGCAACTTTTTATGCTCTATTAGCTAAAACTAAAGCTTTTGCACAGCTTTGGGGTTAAAAACGCAGAAATATGCCCCTTTCTGCCTCCATCAGACGCCTAAAAGCGGCTCTATCTCGCGCTTTCTGTGCAAAGAGAAGCTCTGATCACAAAATGAACCAAATGATTATATAATTTGCGTTTATCTAAATGACTAAACTTGCAAGAAAACCGCGTCATTCGCCTCATCCAAGCATCATTCCTTTGAAATTTAGCATTTTAGCTTGAGCTAAATATCTTAATTCCCTTTATAGGTTATGAAATGTTTTCCTGCTTTTTTTATCATTTTTCGTTCGTTAGCCATCATGAAGCGTTTGTAAGGATTTTATTCGCCTTTCTACCGATTTTATGCACAAATTGTAACAATCTGACTATTTTCAGCATGGTGGGACTATTCGGAAAGAAAAAGGACCCGAAGGAGCAAGTACGAGAGCTGCAGGTAGGGTTTTTCAATAAATTTGACTTGCTCACCGGTCCTGGGCATGATTTTTTTTTGGTTTTCTTGGGAAAAACTAATGGCTGGTACTGCAACTATAATCACAACTTTGCTGATTCCATTTTATATAACGTTTGTTTTAGAGAAAGATGCGACAAGAGATGAGGACGCTCGACCGTCAAGTTTACAGCATTCAACGTGAGGAACAAAAGGTAAGACAAGTTGTCGGCTACCTAAATAGTGTTTAAAAGAAACAGAAAATTTTTTTAGGTCAAAAACGAGATCAAGGCCGCCGCCAAAAAAGGAGACAAGGACGTTTGTGTGATTTTGGCTAAGTCGCTTCTTCAATCTCGAAAGGTAGCGTTCGTTTTCAAAGCTTTGCTAACTTTAAATTCAGACCGTGCAGTGGAGGTTATGAACTTTTAATATGTAAACTGCTCAGCCAAGTAATTTTGCGACAGGAGGGATTGATATTTAGCTCTCTGAAAATGGAATAGAACACTGTTCACTGTTCACTGATCGGGAGATCATTGAACGGTTTGACTTTTGCAAGATCCAGGTGATCTAATAAGACTTATATACATTGTAAATCAATGGATTACGGTAGTTTAAATAAGAAATAGAATGATAAAATGTAAAAATTTCAGCCCAGCCATCGGCATTCGTCGACCACAATCAGACGCGAGAATGGGTTCGTTTTTTGACAAGGATTTCAAGCAGAAGCTCAAGATAAGCCTTCTGGAGATAAGCTTAGTTGCATATGGACGATAGAATTAAAAAAACAATCTTTTTCCCATAAAATTCTCGATTTTCGCATCTGATAAGCCTTCTCCCAATATTCTAACTTTAAGATTCTCCCTCGGGAACATCGCTCCTCCTCATTAGCAATTTTTGAACCTTTTTTGCTCTTATACTAGATATCACCATGGTAAACAAAAAGGAAGTTGTGATTTCAGAGCCTTTTTCTGTTTTTTGCGTAGGCTTTCCAGCATACGACTTCCAGAAAAATCTCCAGAGAGATTACCATTGCCCTCTGCTCCAATGGAAACAAAACCAGATATAAATTGTGTGCAAGACTAAGAGAGATAATGAACCAAATTTAGAGAGTCATTCATTTTTAATTTAAATGCCTAAATTTTTCTTTGTTTTATTCGTTGAGTTGACTTTTTGAGTATTAACCTTGAAAATGAGGAGAAGCACACCTGAAAAGTATCCATTAGCTAGTGTGCATTCCAGAATGGAACTTTGCTTAGGATAGAGATCCTAATTCAACTAGTTTGATCTCAAAATCGAGTTACTCAACCAAATGAAAAAAGTACCCCGAAAAACGCATCATTAAAGTGCATTCCAGAATGCAACTTTGATTTAGGAATATCGCAACATTCAACAAGTACACGAGATTTCTTTGATGCAATCAATTTGATCTTTTAATTAGCTGAATATCTTTTACACTTGATCTTTAATGCAATGAGCTTATTAAATAGTTTATTTTGAAGATTTATTTAGTTTTTTTATTCTTTATTCCAGGTGCTCTCCTCGGCCTTTCACAGTCCGTTTTGGGTCCTTCACATCAAGCTCAGCAACAAACAACACAAGAGCAACATCGTCATCGACAAACACATCAATCACAACAACATCGATCAGGTAACTAATTCGTACTTTATACCTCATGTAGGCCAGAATCTTAGGGGTAGATACCGAATTATCTTTTCAATTTTCCTATTCAATAGCTATTTTCAGTCTCCACTGCTCCCGCATTTGTTGTCGCCCTTCCACCGGTGGAAGATCCAGAGAGCTCAGCAGAGCCTGCCACGGTCGACATCGAGTCGATGGAAGAGTTTGTATGCAAATGGGCAACATGCGGGAAAGAGTTCACAACCAAACAGGTAGTGTGTATAGTTATTATTCCCAAAAATCGTCCCAATTCAGCCCTTCTATGATCATGTTAAAACCATTCATGTCAATCCAATTATTGAGTACATTTGTGAGTGGGAAGATTGTAAGAGGTAAGTGCTCAAATATTAGGTGAACAAGCCTTTCCTTCCTTTTTACCTTTCCTTTTCAACAACCTAATAACTCTAAAAGTTTCAAGTGGACTTTAGAAACAAGAAGCCCTTCAACAAGAACTACAAGTTGGTGGGTCACGTAAGACAGCACACTGGAGAGAAACCACACAGATGTGAAGTGGTTGGATGTTTAAAGGAATACAGGCGCGTCGGGGATCTCAAAGTCCACAAACGATCTCACACCGGCGAAAAGCCATACAAGTGTACCGAATGTGGAAAGGTATACAATCACTTCAATACAGGCCAATCCATTGTTTCAGGCGTTCAGTAATTATAGTGATCAAGCCAAACACCAAAATCAAACCCATTCAAATGTGGTGAGCTAATAAAGGAAGAATTTAACAAAGTACCACAATTTAGAAGGGTTTCAAGTGTCAATATGAAGGATGTCCGAAGGCTTACACCGATCGAGGAAGCCTCCGCAAGCACTTTAGAGGGAGTCACGGTGATAAGATGAATGAAAGAAGATCAAGACATAGCTGAGCTTGTTAGTGTCAAATCAATCAGTGAGCAAGTTCAGCCAAACACCAAAACGCCCATTCAGATGAGGTGAGCTAATAAAAGAAGATTTTAACAAAGTACCACAATTTAGAAGCGTTACCTGCGCGGTTATCAAGGATGTCCGAAGGCTTACACCGATGGACAACGATGGACAAATGGCCCTGACTCGGCAGGACCTTCATCGGAATTGGAATAAATTGGAATAAATTTGACTGGAATAAATCTTGGAATACAATGTCCTCAACCAAAGAATCCACTACAAAAACAATCAAGTAGCTTGTCCAACAACACTCTTGGTGGCTATGCTGAACAAATTCCAATTGGTGAAATGCAACTACAGAGAATGCCTCTCCAGCCTGGGCCCAGCAGAGGGCCCGAAAATGGGGTGAGTGAGTTCATATTTAAAGAGTATGAGTTAATAAGGAGCTTGCCTTAAAAAATACGCTTCTCGGGAAAGGGTTTTCATTTCAGCAAAACAATGAAAGAATGAAAATAGCTTACTTTAATTCTTCAGCTTGATTGAATATCTTTAGAAATTGAAGAGTTTAAAAGATATAAAAATAAAAATAAAAAGTCATATTTGACTGTTTTTCTCAATTCTAACTTTATTTTTCCTCATTAAAACAATTCTAGAATGTTAAAGTAGTTTAAAACTTTCAAAGTTTTAAAGTTTTTGTTTTTGTTTTTGTCATTTTTGATTGCTTTTGTTTTGTTTCAAATCCAAAAAAAGCTTTTTGAGTAAACAGATTTTCAAAATATTTAGTGTGAGTTTCAAAGTAATTTAACTTCAAGCTAAAACCTTGAGTTTAATGTACTGGTGCTGGGCCGTCTTTACTTAATTGAAATCGCTTCTTTCTAGCCTCAACTGCTTCTTTCATTACCCTATTAAAACAATTCTTCTGCATTAGAGTTGTAAGTTTCAAAGTAATCAACTACAGCTCAATTTTGCGTTTAAGAGTTCGTTTTTTTCGCTTTTTCCATTTCCCCATGAAAACATTGCCGCGTTTGAACGAAGCGTTTACAAATTCGAGCACTTTGTTCAACTTACATGAATTTCTCGTAGCTCTTTCAGGTCGATCCCTTTCTTGCTAAATGAGAGTTTCTCTATAATATATTACCCTGATAGACTCAAAAAGTAAATACTCTAATAGAAGCCCTACAGAAGCGTCGCGGTCCACTCAAACAATCTCAACACAACACAACACTCGAGTATTATCATCTTTTAATAATTTTTTCTAAGCGCTCGTTGATGTTAAAAAGATGTGTTATATCTCAAAAAATCACTTATTTTCTCTCTTCAAATGATACCTAGGCGCATCGAAAAATTTAGGTGTAACAATTATTCTATGAGGCTCTAGAGGCTCTAGATAAGCTCTGGAAGCTCTAGATAAGATCTAAAGAAGCCCTAGAAAATAGAGGCTAGAAAATAGAAGCAATCAGTAAGGTATTCTTGATTTTTCTAGAACAGCTATCAATCTGAAAAATGTTTGGAATTTGGAATTTGGATAGTATATAATCAGAGTAGGGTGTAAACTTAGTGCCCGTTCACCTATCAGCTTCTTTCTGATTTGTCTCAGCGAATCATAAAATCCAGATGTCTTTTGACAGGGAAATTTCCCATTTTCCGAATCATATGACCCTTCAGAAGCCGCTTATCTAAACGTTTCTGCTGCGATTTCCCCGAACCTGGTCGGTTTCGAATTGTTCCACATCCAAGAAAAGTTTTCGAGTAAAGAAGCTGAGAAATTCCTTTGAACAATCGAATACTACAAGATTCTAGATGATTTTTGTAGTGAAATGGAAATTTAAAAGCAAAGTTTCAAAGTAAACGACTCTAGCCTTGGCTTTAGCAAGATAATCATGCAAAGATGAGGATGCACTTTGTACTCTCTTAAATCCTGTGAACCCCTTCTGGCAGCACAATTCCCGGTCGCAACTGTTTGGTGCTACGAGGGGAAATGGAAGAATTGAGTGCACCAGAGAGGGGGTGTGTACGGGATTCAAAGTGGGCACAAAGAACACGTGAATGGCCAGCTGTAGGCTGCGGCGTCAATGGCTGAAGTCCAGAATAGGCACAATTTGCTGACTTTGCGAACTAAGCTTTGAACAAGGATTTTGTTCTTTATTTTCCATAGAGCAAACCATGATTAGTTGTAATGCTTTTGATTAACTTGACCAAAAGTTGAAACCCAATTATTTATCAATGAACCCAATAATCAATGCACACTCTTCCCCAATAATCAATGAACACTCTTCCCCATCACCCAGATCAAAGCTCTGCGACTGGGGGACATGCAGCAGCCGTAAAAAGGGATGTTTCCATAGGTTATTTGAGAACTTTATTGTAGCAAATGTCGCGTATAATGTTCTTTAGACAAAAGGACGTCTCTTCCCTTTTATATAAAGTAAATTCATTTTGAAAAGAAAAAGCAAAACTAATTTTCTCGGGGACGAATCCACGACTCCTCTGGGGTAGAATTTCTCTACATTCTACTGTATTCTTTCTATCAGTGCAGCCAAAACCTCGTCTACATTCCTCAAAATCTCGAGAACCTTCTAGATTTAATTGATCGCTTTTTGGAGGACTTCAACTTACCAAGGTGGCTATTTTATAGTTTATCTTCTAGAAGTGCTTGTCTAGTTTTGCAGATTTCAAACAGATTTCTAGGCGGCCAAATTTGGATCAGAAGCTCAGGACTTGATTTTGTTGAGAAATAAGGTAAAGATCTAGATTCTAGCTTTGCCTAGATGCTTGGTAAAGCCAGCCGACGTAGAGAAGAGAGAAGACGGTGAATCAAATGCCAACCTGTATACGAATTATATGTGAATGATGTCCGGATGGTGTTTGTGATTGATTCGGTGTCTGGGATGGGATTTGCGAGGCTGAATGAGCTGCTGCTGAGGTGGCAAGACTCTGCGCCGGCACCAGGAACATTGGGAGACCCGTTGCCTGCAATTCGAAGTGAAATCGTGATTTATTGAAGTTAGTTTTTCAGTTTTTTTGGATTTTCTTGATTTGGAATCAGCATAAAATTCCCTATGGAACAAAAAGAAACGGCATCTCGAAATTCGATCTGGACGTCAAGGAAAGTGTTTGTGACAGACAGGCAGACGGACAAACAGACAGGCAGACGTTTTTTCTGCTTTAGGAAAAGATTTGTGACCTGTTCATCCGTGCCACCATTCGCTTGCAAATGGCGCGTCGGGATCTCGGTGGAAGATCGGAAAGCATGTAGCGACAGCGGAGAGACGCTGTAAGTCTTCTTTCTTTAGATCTCTTCATTAAAATCACAGTTTAATCAAAGGAAAAGCTTTTGTTAGAGTTCTAACATCAATTGCGATAATCGAATTATGATAATTGCAATCTCCTGGCACCATTTCGATAATATTAGCTGATCTGTGAGTCAATTTTCACCGCAAAAATCGTGTTACAATGTTCTAAAGCCATTGTTAGTCCGTGAAAAACCGAAATACACTCCGAGTGTAAAACAAAAACAAAAAAACCCCAAGCCCAAAAACCCATCGAAATTTCACCGCCAACCTATCAATCGCCTCATCGCCAAAAGTCGCTCGCATTTTCTTCTCGATTTCCCCTCCAACTGCCTTGCCTCAATCTCTTCCGGACTCAGCGATCCATCGTGAATCTTCACCTCATCATACCCACTTTCTCCATCCATGTTTGGTTGTGTGTTGGGAAGGATGATTTGGCCTCGCACAAAACAAGCCCTTTCAAATGCGCTGAGAATCTAGAGGAAGACGGGGAACTGAGATGTGGAAAAGAGAGATGCGGAAGAGGGAAAGGGAGAGAAATACTAGAAACCACGGAAGGGAGAAGAGACCTTTTTGGAGGGGGGAGGTTGGGAAAGCTGAGAGAGGAGAGAACTTTGTTTGACTCATACAGAGGTGCACTTTGTGCTCTTCGAATACCTTTAAACACATTCTTTTTGGTGCACTTAATTTCTCGCATTTCCCGTTAAGTTATTAAGAAAAGAGTAAATCGGGGAAGCTTAACTTTATAAAATAGGAATTCTAGTGAGAGAAGTTGAATCATTGACTTTAAAAATCTCTCAAAAGAGAAATGCGGAAGAGGGGAAAGGGAGAGGAAAGGGAGAGGGAAAATTTTTGTTTTTGTTTACACTCGGTCTTTTCTAGATCTTTCTACATCAAAAATAGGTACCTAAACTTTCTGAAAATATTATCAGCTTATAAATTTACAGATTTTGAAACCTAAACAATTCCAAACATCAAACAAACCTAAACTTAAACAATTCGAAGATTAATTTACCTGTGCCAAAAGCTTTTTCTGTTCTTGTTGATCTGTTCCGGACGTCCGAATCTGAGCCGATTCATTCTCCTCTGAAACGGAGGTCCGACTCAGAGACTCCTCTGAAACGTTTCGGAGGAGAAGGATCATTCTTACGGAATCGGATGTCCGATCTTGAGAACAAATAATTTAAATGCAAAATCCAATGTTTTGAACAAAACACGCTTAAAAACACGTTGAAGAGTTCTTTTAAAGAGTTCGAATTGAATAGCTAAGTCGATATTTGCTCGTGTTTTCCTTCATTCATTCAATCGTTCATTCACTCATCTGCCCCATAAACACTCTCATGGGAGTAGTCGATGTAGAGGAAAAGATCCTCCTCGTGGTGATCCTAGAATCGGTTTAAAATTCTTTAGAATTGTATCTTTAGAAATGCAAATGTAAAATGTAGCCTTTGCTGAGTAAATTAGAAATTCTCGGACAGAAAACTGATTCGAATGAATGCGGACGTAAATTGATCTGACCTGGTTAAAAGTACTTTTAAAACCCCTAGCACAGCTTTATAAGATGGTTTTATAAGACAAAGCCTTACTTACAGACACTCAATTTGAGTCTGTAAGGCTAAAAGAAAAGCCTTACAGACAAACAATCAATTTCGGCCAAAACTGCCGTAATCTTCCGCCAGTTTTACCCTCAATTAGCCTAATTTTGGTGAAACTCGCTGAGGGAATCACAAGCCTCGAGTTAATCAAAACAAAATTGGGCTAATCGCAGAAGCTAAAGGTGGTTAGAAAACACTTTACTATGAAGAAAAAATTGGTGTTTTTTAATTTGTGTCCGTGTTTTAACTTATTTGATTAACAAGTCCCATTCAGCTAATTAGTTAACGTTAGCCATTTAGTTTCAAATTCAAATTCAACAGTTTCAAATTTAACGGCTTCTAGCCGATATTTTGTCCTTCTAATTAATGAAGATTTTTCTGTTTCCTCTTACCTGATAGAGTTGTCCCATGGTGGTCATCGTTTGTGGAATGACGTTGTTGACGAAGAAGAAAAGGGCGTAAAGGAAAGATGACAGGTAAAGGTACTTTTTATTTCAATTGGTAGACGTAACATTTAAAAGTTATCAAACAATAAACTAGCAACAAAGATAAAATAAAAATAGATTTGCGTATTAGCTTTTAATAGAGTACCATAGCTGAACTAGAAATTGTGAAAGATTTGTTGTTGTTGTTGTTGTTGTTATTGTTTAGTTATCATTGTCAAAATTGAGCTTAGACTCTCATAAACTTTCTCAATCTCAATATTTGAATACTTTCTTTGCCAACAAGTTATCTTACATTCAATTTTGATAGGTTTTTCGTTTTTATATCATAGATTAGATTCTATATGATAGATTAGATTCTATATGATAGATTAGATTCTATATGATAGATTAGTTTTATATGATAAATTACTTTTATATGATAGATTATGAAAATTCACTAATTTAAAACCGATACTCTTCAATTAATCGTTTTGTTTTCAAATGGAAAAAAAATCGAAAAAAACAATTTTTTTAAAAACTCGGTCAGGAGCTTTAGAACAAAACTTTATTTTCAGAAAAACAGAAAAAAATCTAAAGCTTTGAAGTTTTTTGTTAGCTTTTAGCTTTGGATCTTGACTAAACGATTAGAAGCTTTCTTTCATGTAAAATCCAAAATCCATCAGCTAAAGACCTGATAAACGATAAAATGGCTTAATAAAATTGACAAGTAGAAGAGGAAAGAAAACAAATCTACATTAAAACACAGATCAAACAGGATTTAAACATTCAATACTTTTTTCTGCGCGCCTAATTGAAAATCTAGTTGTCGAGCAGATCGAAAAAGGAAATTCTGAGTTTGAAAAGTGTCTAAGCATTGAGAAGCCAATCACTAAATAAAAAAGTCTTATTTCAAAATTGTTTAGATCAAAATGTTTGGGTAAATTCCAGTTTTCGGAAATTTGATGATAGATCGATTCGGAAATTTGATGATCGATTTAGCGTCTCTGTTTCAAAATTGTCAACCAGAAATGGTCAACCTCAATGTACGATAAACCCTAGCAAACATAAGAGAAAAATGGATATTTCATCATCGGAAATTTGTGGAAACGAGGTAAAAACTTGTAAAATTCAATTTTTAATTCAATAAATGAAAAGGTCAAAAAAAGAAAATCATGTTTCAATTTTGAGCAACAACAAAAGACATAATACTTTATTAATAAACGAAAATGAAAACAAACAAATCTAATTCCTCATTTGAAAATTATTCATTTAACTAATAAAAACAAAGAGCACAATGGGGAAATGGGGAATTGTTTGGTTGTGGCTGTGGTGGTTGTTGAAAAGAAAAGTGGTTCAGTGACACCCAGATGACCGTTCCAACAAGGTATACCAAGGAAAAAGGAGAAAAGAAGAAGAACAACAACAAAAGACATAATACTTATCGCGGTGAAAAGGGCAAAGAATGGCTTAATAAAATTACCTGATAGAGTTGTCCCATGGCTTAGAAAAGCTTAGGTTTCAATTTTGGGCAAGTAGGGAAGTGAGGAAGCCTCGATAATTCTCGATTCTCGATAACACTGGAACTCTGCCAGAAACATTAGACAAAAGACAAAAATCCATCATTGGATTGAATTACTGTAGCGAACAGCACCCACTTTGAAACTTTGAAATTTTTTAACAGATTTTAAGTTTTTATGATTTTACAGTTATCTTGTACAGTTATCTTGTAAAATCATAAAAACTCAAAATCTGTTAAAATTTTAAAGTTTCAAAGTGGGTGCTGTTCGCTACAGGTAATGCAATCCAATGAGAAGATTTTACGCAACCAAATCTTATGAACTACGGTAGTTTTTATTTGTTAATTCAATACAGGTAATTCAATCCAATGATGGATTTTTTTGTCTTTTGTCTAATGTTTCTGGCAGAGTTCCAGTGTTATAGAAAAAAACTCTAAATCGCTTGGGAGTTATGGTTGGGTAAAACCAAAAAAAAAAGAATGGAGGGAAAGGCAGGCGCAATTCTGCATGAACAAATGTGCTCTTTTATGGGGAAAAAAGCGGGGTGAAAGGAGAGGTTGAGCGATAGAAGAATGAAAGACTTTCCAAATCTTTCAAGATCTTTTAAGATCAATGATCATTTTACTTTTGAATCATAAACCTGCGAGTTTCCTTCAAGATTCAGTTTCGATTTTGTTCACATTTAAACTCGATTTTAGGTAATGAGGGACGTACTGAAAAAAATTCGCGAAATTTTGGAGGTGCTCGTCGTTGGGTCGATCATAACAGGTTGGATTTGTTGACTGACTGTGTGTACCATTCATTCATAGCCATAAGCATAGCAAAGAGAAGTCATTTCTTATATGTACTGCTGCAAATCTATTTCTAAGCAAACTCTTTCATTCTGGCTCATAAAATTAAAAATGTGGCTTTTGGCTCATAGACTAGTCCAGAGGCATAAAGGCCAGGCGGGTCATTTGACCATTTACCAGCTTACCAGGTAAGCTGGTAAGCTAGAAGTCAGACCAGGCCAGAAGTCAGAGCAAGGGATTTTGTGGACCAAGCTTGTAGTAAACCTAGACCCATAGCAAAGCCATTGCAGTAACGAGTCCGAGTTTTTCAAATTCACAGAGAAGGTAGGTGAATGGGGAATAGTCGCACCTTCAAATAAGTTGGCTACTGTAAATGTTTACATAAATATTAATTGATCTATATTTCGATCTTAGAAGTACGGAAAGCACGTCACCGAGTGGATGTACCAGAATGCGCGTTACTTGCTCTCATCCGTTGATGATGCCAATTGTCAGGTGAGTTCTCATTATCAGTTAAGCTTTAAGTCAAGCATACATTTGCTCAATTGTTCCTTTTAGATGGTTGTTCACGCCGCTGAAGCGCTTCTCGTCAACGCCACCGCTCTGACCGATTTGCCCACCGAGGTGTGCCTCTTGCTCTCTGGGCCGTAAAATTTGATTATGTGTTGATAATCAAATGTGGTAGCTTTGATAGCAATATTCTTTAGGAATGTTTAAAGGGGATTGACATCGATCGTGAGGGAACATTCTACGCGAGTCGCGAGTTACTTAAACGGGATGATTGGTACACGGTGGTGAGTTTTCGAAAAAGTTTGCAGAACAGAATCTAAGATCTTTTAACTAGATTAGACTTACAGATATATGAATCCCTGACGTAATCAGTTTTAAATCCAATCCCTGACAAGGATTGGAGTCATAAGGCATTTCTAGATATCCTGGAGTTTAGAACAAATTCAACGAGAATTAGTTGGTCTTCCGCGAAAATAGTTGATAAAACTAGTATGCAAAGTTATTTTCCCTAATTTCCAGGAGGGACTTCGTCGAGTGATCACGGCGGCGCTCGAGAAGATGGCTCGCATGTCGACCATACAGACGCAACAGACGAAATCGATGGTGGACGAGTTGCAGAAGAAATTGAAGAGGGCCATTCAACCGCCATCAGCCATCTCAACCACCGCTCAATGAGGGACAGGGAAAATGGTTTTGTGTGCGTGTGTTTGAGCTCGCTGGATCGAGCTTTTGGTGGGTAGCTTTTTTGTTTTAAGTCTTAAGGAAATGGACTTGAAGTTGAGAATTAATTTGAGACCAGGGCATCTTATGGAAAAACATCAAAACTGGACATCTTCAGGGTTGAGCAGTTGAGCGAAGAACCGATTTTCAGGCCAAAACAAAGCCAAATTCGAGTAATCCCAAAAAGGTTTCACTTGGTTTTGACTTTTGGTTTTTTACCGACTATGAAACTCTTGAATTCCGAGAGAAGCCATTAAACGATGTTCAACCTTGATGTTTGAATTTTCCTTGATAATACTAGACTTAATTATTAGATTTAAGACTTAAGGTTAGCTACAGAGTTTATTTACAACAAATGGCTTACCGGTTTGCTTATCGATTTTCTTTTAGTTACATGATACTCTCGTCATTTTCCCGGCCAAATCCCCGCGTGTCTCCTTATGTCGGCTTCTCAACAAAAATCCCTCAAAAACAAACCTTTTTCTAGGATTTTCCACATAGTATCATTGTTTGTAGTCATTATTATCTTGTTAAAATTATTCTTGTTATTTTATATATTTTTCACCTTCTTTCCCCATAAACTGGTCGATTTCAGGACATTTATCACACATCTGGTGTTTTTTTGTTTGCTTTTAGAAGTGTTGATGATGATTGATCGTTTTTATAGGTTTTTACACACACCCGATGCTCTTTTATCTGTGTTTTATTTTATTTTTTTTGACTTTCACGTTGTATACACACAAAGTTTTCTGGTATAAATTAATTTTCAAATGACAGTGTTTAGGGAAAGGGACTTGAAGCAAAAAGACGAACGTGGGAAATTGATCCGAAATTCTGAAAGAGCCGGTAAAATCCAATGTGGAAAATAAAAGATCAATAGCCAGGTCGAACAAATTTACAGCTTGAAAAAGCTTGAAAAACTCGTATCTTATAGAATTAAGGCCATTCTCTTATTCCCTTTCTCTTTCTACCTTCATCTTCTTTCTATTTCTTATTCAATATATCCACTTTTTATATATCTTATATTATGCATCTTATAAAGATTGACTGAGAAAAAACAACATGAAAAGCAGGTAATATTTAGTCATTAGTTCGTGGCCTTTGGCTCATAGACTAGTCCAGAGGCATAAAGGCCAGGCCATTTACCAGCTTACATAGTAAGCCAGGTTTACCAGGTAAGCTGGTAAGCTAGAAGTCAGACCAGGCCAGAAGTCAGAGCAAGGGATTTTGTGGACCAAGCTTGTAGTAAACCTAGACCCATAGCAAAGCCAAGCCAGGCAAGACCAGTCTTGGCTTCTGAACTTGCCTTCAAAACGACCCTGGTCAAGTCAAGCCTAGGTCAAGCATTTTATTAAGCTACAAAATCAAACAAGCTCGTACTTTCCAGCCAGGAATAATTTTTGATCTGATGATCTGATGTGAAGACCGAAGGAAGAAAGAAAAGAATGTTTATGTTTAGATTGCCTTAAAATTACTTAAAATTGCTTTAAAAAAGTGGATAAGCAAGTTATAGAGCAGTAAAGAGACAAGAGAAGCCATTTTGTAACTCATAATACCAAATCTTTAGCTAGATTTTTCTAGGAGAATGCTTCATTGTTAGCCAGCCGCTGTTTTATCGAACAAACGGGTACGGTACATAGTACCAAAGAAAGTATAGACCGTATCTAGGATATAGCAGTTAGCACTGTACCCTAAAGTGCTTGTTGTTTCTTAGAATACCTAGTAGCTCCTAGGTATTCTAAGAAGGCTGAGCCAATCTAGTAGAAGTAAAGTACTGTCAAAAATGTATTGTCTAGTGATCCGAAAATCCAAATTTAGACCTACTTGTGTTTTTTTTGTTGAAGTATATCAATTATTGATTGATATACTTAAACACAACAATTTGAAACTTAATTCTTCGACTTTCGAGACAGTAGTCAAATTTGATAGTAGACAGTAGTCAAGAGTCAAATTTGATAGCTACTTTAGGACCTGAGATAAAGTGCGCTAGATTTAAGACTAAAACACATCAATTCATACAAATAAACCGAAAAGGGCCGATAAAAAACTACACGATATAATGTTATGGGTAGCACAGATAACGTCAAGGATCCACTAGAGCTTTCATCAAGATCGTCTACAGATTTAAAGGCTTTAAGACTATTGGACTCTCTGAAAACTCTGGGGAGTCGATTCCAAATTCTGGCAGTTCTTGCTGGAAAAGAGACAAACTTATTGTAGGTGACTGGAATTTCTAAGACCGAAGGAAGAAAGAAAAGAATGTTTATGTTTAGATTGCCTTAAAATTACTTAAAATTGGTTTAAAAAAGTGGATAAGCAAGTTATAGAGCAGTAAAGAGACAAGAGAAGTCATTTTGTAACTCATAATACCAAATCTTTAGCTAGATTTTTCTAGGAGAATGCTTCATTGTTAGCCAGCCGCTGTTTTATCGAATTCATAACAGATAAATTCTGAAACACAACTTTTTTCCTATTTTTTCCTATGAAAAGAATTGGAGTCTAGACTATTTTGGTTCTTCGTTAAAAAATCCCGAACAATTCTTTCATTTGCTTATAGATATTTTAAGTGATCAATGACCTAACGAAACCATTACCCTACCCCGGGATTTTTGACTCATCAACATTTTGAAACTCGTAATCCTCTTCTCCTAAAGCCGACTCTTTTTATCTGATTTATTCTTGACAAGACTCTCAAATACTTGATTTGGAAAACAGCAATAAAAAGAACACATATCATTTCTATAAAGAATCTAAAAACAAATTCTACAATGAAAAGCCTCAGACGAAGTAAGGAGACATATCTAGATCATTTGAAACTCGCAATTTCGAATTACGCTTGAAATCTTTCAAACAAAATGTTTCCAGCACTCTGGCACTTGATCATTTGGATGTGGAAAAAATTGGAAAAAGAAATGGGGAAAAGAGACGCTGGAATTGGCCTCCATTCATTAAAACCCCTTCACACACATAAAAATAGAGGCCAAAAAGGGTTGGAAATGAAAAGAAATGCAAAAAGTGAACAGAAAATGAGGAGCTCAAATAATTGGAAGCAGATAGATTTTGGAAGAGAAAAGCCTTGGGTTTGTTGAAAATGAAAAGCTCTGTCTCAAATGCATGTTTCAAAATGCTCAAACCATCGCTGATTTTGATAAAGCAAGTGCTCAAACAAAGCTGTCAAACTCGAAATTAAGGTGCAATTCTTGAAACTTTTGTTGGGTGAATGAGAATCCAAATCTGGTACCAGCTTTGACTTTTTGTGAAAAACTGATGTTAGATTCGGATTCTTCATCCCGAAAACCCTAGGTTGCAAATTTTTAGCCATCTTGATTCGTGCCAGACAATGTTACTATCTTGGTTCTCTGTTACTGACAATGTTACTTTCTCCTACTTAGGCTCTGGAAAATCTGGAAAATCGCTTTCAGACCAGCCTTAGTTGGTCTGAAAACGATTTTCCAGATTTGGCCAAAAGGCCAAACAAGCTAGGCCAGAAGTCTTAGACAAAAATAATGTGTTTCGTTGCTTAGAGGGTTGTCAGCGCTCACATCAATTCACTATTGCCCTTTTCTCATTTTCTGCATGTTATCCTTATTGAAAATCGATGTTTCAAGATAGTTTGCAAGCAGAATTTGTCGGAAAGCTTTATTTATGCCAAAATCCATTACTTTCATCAAGTTTAGCTTTGAAATTTTAGGATGGTTTTCCAAAGCAACAGACAAATGAGTTGAAAGACTCGCGTAAAAACGAGATGGCTGATTTTAGACTGAATTTTCCAGAGTTTTTCATGAGTTCTTTTTCTCAAAAATGTTGTGTTTCATTGTTTATAAGGTTGATAGTCGTTCTATTAATTTAATGGTGACATATCTCGTTTAATGGTGAATTTTCGTACTCTTTCGCTTTTTCTGTTCGAAAATAATTGCGCCCGGGATTTTCAATTTTCGAGTTTCAATGTGAGAAAAAGAGTAGAGGAAAAACCGGACAAGTTGGGAAAAAATTTGATCAAAACTTTGATCCGATTACCGTGATACTTGAGTATTATTTAAATGTTTGAGCAATCAAAATTTACAAAAACTGGTAGGTCTGTGATTTTTAAGGGCGGGAAGAGGGTAGAGATTATGCTCCGATAACCTCTTTGAACCTTAAATATTTGAAACTTGCAATTAAGTTTTGAGAACTAAATGTTTAGTTTTCCAGATTTTAAACACGATAAAATAGGATTGATAATTTGCATCGAATGAAAAAATGCATTTTTGAAGAATGCAAAGACGAGCATTGCGTTTCGAGAAGCTTTTGAGGCTAAGCTCTTTGAAACTTTGTTTTGTAAAGAGAGGAAGTTGTTTTTGGTTTAAAAACTAAAAGTTGTTTAAAAAATATTCTTTCTGTTTTCGATGTTAGATTATGGATCATTTTGAAAAGCTGATAGATGATTAAAAGATGAAATAGATGAAAAAAAAGTAGTTTTGTTTTTTAGCTTTGTCATTTTAAATCTGTTTAAAGATCTTGTTACATCAAAAAAATTACAATTTAGATTTAGCGAAAGAGCCGGTCAAAAGTGAAACATTCATTTCCACATTCATTCATGTGCAAAAAAGAATAAAGAACTCAAGAATTCCATTGAAACTTGTTAATCTTAATCTAAAAACGAAATAAAAGACTTGAATCTTTTGAAGAATCTGATTTTGATTTAATCATTACAAGTTGAACCTTTTTTGCTTTCTCCTCACTTTGAAGTATGAATACCCTAACAAACACTTTGTTTTTTAATCAAATCTTGCAACAACCTTATCAGATTAGAAAACTTAACCGCTAACGACCTCACTTTGAAATATTCTTTCTTCTAACAAACACTTTGATTTAGCGAAAGAGCCGGTCAAAATTTTAGTATTCTTTTCCCTTTTCTTCTTATATAAATATGGGTGAATGGTCTTTGTGGGATGCATTTTGAGTAAATTTTT